TGTTTAAGACTTTATTCTCTACCGTAAGTTCTTTCAAGAACAATTATGTCCATCCGTGTAGGTTCAGTAGGTTCGTATAGAAAAAGCAAACATTTCCGAAAATATAATTTGGAGGATAAAGAATATTATTCTCGTTACTCATAAAATCATGCTGATTATATATTCACATTGACAAATTTCATATATAAACATGCATGTATATGATATCTATATATATTTATATACCATCAGCGAATTTAATACAAACATAAAAATAAATCATTTTATGGCAAGATTACGCACAAAAAAGACAGTGACGAAATGTCGGGAAGTGGGGGTGCATGGAGAGGGATGGGGTTCTTCTCTTGAGTTATAGTCAACCGCTAAAACTGAATATTTATGAATGCAGATGATATCAAAGAGGGGCCAGGAGACATCTTGTGATCAGTATATAGTTAATAAACAAACGAGTAATAATTGTATATGATATAAGATTATGAGGATTATGTTTTGCAAAGTCGAAAGCAATATTGAATAAAGATGATTTTATTAAAGAAAAAAAAAGATTATGAGGATGATGATTATTCACAGTATTATGGCGCCAATTTCTGTTTAATTAAACTCATTAAAAGGCGCACTATCCTCCGATGGATGAAGTCAATAATTTGGTATTTGGCAAAACAGGTAAGTTATGGAGGCACGATTTAATATGGTAATGTGAATACACCACGGATAATCATGATGAATCGTGCATAAACATGTAAATTGTCAATAATATATATAACCGATCTATTACACTAAAAGTGCGGCGATTTAGGGGTGACATGCCTCCAGAAAATGAAGACGATCGTCATCGAGTTGAAAGTTTCGGAAACATTGCAAATATCAGTAAAGCACACATAGTCTAAAATAATGATTGAACTCATTTACTATTCATCCTGTCTCTTTACAGGAGATGCAAAATATAAATAATAATAATTATTATTATATCCTGCATCAAAAATTTATTGGCTTTTGATTGGTTGAGAGCTTGTCACATGACTATATGAGAGTACTATTTTGGTTTACTATTTGGGAGTTGAAAAACAAATGTGAATTTTTTTTTCAAATCTTAATTTAATGAAAATAAAATATTTTAAATCTTTTTAGATCAAAATTGACATTTTTTTTGTTTTAAATTTTTTTCTTCCAAAAAATTATTTTTAATTTTTTTTTTAAAATAAATAAATTTTTGATGCAGGATATAAAACAAATATACCATGCCTTCTATTCGAAGTACTGGTTAAACTATGGGCCTCGGTGACTACAAAAGTACCATTTGCTTCGGGGCTGCGCCCCTCAGCAAATAGTACTATTGGAGTCACCTCTTGCGCATAGTTTTAACCAGAACCTCTCAAGGCAGTGTATATTTGTATATTATTATTATACTATATTCATAATACATGTAATAATAATAGGCCTGTAGTCCAACTGGCGCGTGTCGTCTCTAGCTCATGCAGCCGGCCTGGTCACGTAAAGACCTCAGGCTACAAACAATATTTTGAATATGACATGATAATTACTGACAATCCGAAAGCACTGTGAATCCGGGCTGTGAATGCTTTAAATTGAGACATCATTAGCTTAGAATAGTTTGAGTTACATTAGTCAATTGACAAGCAGGATTTACAAAATGGCATAACAGTGAAATAATAATGGTTTATAATGGTGAATATTGTTTAAATGATTTTCTGTTACTCTTTGTTACGTTCAACAATCATATCATAATCTTCAACACAAACACAACATAATATAACTTACCCTGATACAGGAAAGCAAAGATGATTAAGGTTGCAAGTGATAACGAGACCATTGTTTCTTGATAATACTGAGTCGATCCAAGTATAGAAATTGAGATGGAGGATGTGTATATAGCTCGAGCAGGGTTACGCCAGAGTTCTAGTAGTAGTGTGGAAGAGTGTTTGGGTACGCTTGGCTTTATATGTACCGTTTCCGATTTTCCAATTTATGAATCACTCAGCTCCCTTGGGGTGAGTGTATTCTTTTCGTCTAGCCTAACATCCAAACTCTTTTCTTTAATACTTATCGAAATCAAACATAAGGTTTTGATTTCGATTAATTATATACCATGCCTAAAAGTGCAAATCGCACTTCTGAAAAGCACTATATTGATTCTATCAATTGGCTTTTATTATCTCTTCTTTGTTCAACTGTTTTGTAGAGCCTATAATTGGTACAAAAGCAGTTTAATTAAGAGGTGTTCTTGACAGGAAACCAATACTTAGAACACACATACCCCTAGGTGCCTTGTGAGTGCTGTGCGTACACAATCATGAGAGTTTCATTCTCAGATCCTCGATCGAGCCCAGGATCAATTTACTTTACAGTCTCTCTCTACGTCTTCCGTATCTCCATTAATTTTGATTTGTATAGTAATCGCCACCAGGCGCTTACGCAGGGGGGGGGGGGGGGGGGGGGGGTCGAAACCCCCTTCAATTTTTGTTTATGTGTGTGTTTTGGAGGAACATCCCCCCTCCGCCCTCATATTTTGTTTTTAATATTTAAAAAAAAAAATGGTGCCAAAGGGTGACCAAAAAAGTTGTCCTTAACCCCCCCCCCCCAACTGAACGAAAGGGGCACCCCTGAAAATAACCCGTGGACAATTACCCCACCATTGAAAATTACCCACTTGGACTACCCCCCCCCCCCCCACCCAGGACAAGCAAGGGCAACCAGCCAACCACCCCCGGGGAGAATCCCCCTCCCCAGAAAAATTACCCCCTATTGACATGTTCATTAAAAGGGAAGTAACGGCCTGAAAATAAATTAGTTTTAATTAAAGCATTTCTTTTTCGGGGGGGGGGGGGGTAATTGTCCTCGGGGGGGGGGGGGGTAATGGTCCACGGGCGGTATATTTTGGGGGTTTAATTGTCCCGCTGGTAATTGCCCGGGGGGGGGGGGGGTGAATGTCCAGGGGGTATTTGTCCTAGAACCGTATTTGATCACATGTGCAGGTCGATAGAGCACATCTCTAGGACGATTTAAGTATTTTGATGAACAGGGGTCAGAAATAAATATCTAACATCAATGCTCTCTCTGACGAGTTTTGTGTGCGATTATACAGCCGAAATTTATACATATGAAGCGGATATATTTGAGAAAACTTCCATATATTAACTTTATTTTATGGAGCAAATGTGCAGGTCGATAGAGCACATCTCCAAGTCGATATAAGTATACTGATGAACATAAGACAGAAAATAAATATGTAACATCAACGCTCTCTCTGAGGAGTTATTTGGGTGTGATTACAGACTATGAAGCGAATATAATTTTTACCTGGGGCACCCCTGAAAATTACCCACGAGGACAACCCTGCCCCCCCCCCCCAGGTCAAGCAAGGACGGCACCCGCCGAGGAGAATTACCCCCTCCCCCCCCCCCCCCAGAAAAATCGCCCCCTATTCATTTAAGGGATAGTCCACCCTGAAAATATAAGTTGTTTTTATAATAAAAGCATGATTTTTGTTCGGGGGATGGGGGGGGGGGGGTAATTGTCCCACTTGTAATTGGCCCTGGGGTAATTATCCAGGGGTAATTGTCCTACAACCGCATTTGATCACATCGGTCGCAAATGGCCGCCGTTTAATTCACACACAGCTAGCTATTGAAAAAAAAAGGGACATTTCCCCCATGACGTCATAATTATACTCGGACCGGTCATCAGTGAACGTGAACTCGTAAGCTCTACAAAATCTATTCAGATTTTTCCAAATTCCTGTACTTGCTAGCTTTTATTAACTTTAAAGATGAGAGCTGAGAAGTCAAATTGATGTCCATTTAATTTTAGTCATATTTTGGGGAAAACGGCTTAGAGTCTAACCATCGATAGATCTATAAATGTTATATCATGATATCATTGTCCCATATGCTGACAACCATGTAAGTTTCACTTGCAGCCTGTGCTGTTGATCTCCGACATCGCGTCGCACCCAATCCCGGCACCCAATGTCATCAAGAAGAAGAAGAAGAAGAAGAAGAAGAAGAAGAAGAAGAAGAAGAAGAAGAAGAAGAAGAAGAAGAAGAAGAAGAAGAAGAAGAAGAAGAAGAAGAAGAAGAAGAAGAAGAAGAAGAAGAAGAAGAAGAAGAAGAAGAAGAAGAAGAAGAAGAAGAAGAAGAAGAAGAAGAAGAAGAAGAAGAAGAAGAAGAAGAAGAAGAAGAAGAAGAAGAAGAAGAAGAAGAAGAAGAAGAAGAAGAAGAAGAAGAAGAAGAAGAAGAAGAAGAAGAAGAAGAAGAAGAAGAAGAAGAAGAAGAAGAAGAAGAAGAAGAAGAAGAAGAAGAAGAAGAAGAAGAAGAAGAAGAAAAAAAAAAAAAAAAAAAGAAAGAGAGAGAGAGAGAGATAAAAAGAAGGAGGAGGCCGGAGGATGAGAAGAGGAAGAAGAAAGGAGAAAATGAAAAATAAAGAGGGGTAGGAGGAGGAGAAAACTTTGATGTTACATGAATAATTATTTCTATCACACCAGTTCAGACTGGTGTGCTGTGAGAGGCACAGTTTAAACAATTGCCTAATTAAGGGTGATGTCAAAACTGTAATGTGCCCTGAGACGATGTCAATAGGCCAAGTCCAGTCTCAAGATCATCAAGGAGTTTTAACCATGACACCAGAAATAAGCAGGCAATGTGTGTTTTATATACTGCATCCCCATGTCAATTCTTAAAAAGAGATAAACTTTTCAAAGTGTATTTATTTGTAGAGGCAAATGAAATGTACCTGTCATAATTGCATGTGCCTGTCTGCATGTATCCATTGTTGACTTTATCTAGTGTATGTAAAGGGCTGATATCGCTTTGCCAAGTTGATGTCAACTATGAAAATAACAATTAGTTCAGTGTAAAACTAAAGAAGTGAGCGGGAATGTCGCAGAATTCTTGTGAGGATTTATCCATGGCTTTCATTTTTTCTCTCCCTCTAAAGAAAAATGGTGTTATCCATCAAATATATAATCAATACATGTTTCTGATTGTTCCAATGTGTAGATAGATTGACTACCTATAGAAGCAATGACTGCTTGGCTATGTCTGAAACACAAGTGCATCGATCTGATACCCATGCCTCCACCATCCTCAAAGGACTCGATAGACTGCGTAAAGATCACATCTTCTGTGATGTCCAGCTCCAGGTTGGTCCTCAGTTATTCCAGGCCCATCGATTGGTCCTATCAGCTTGTAGTCCGTACTTTGACGCCTTGCTTACAAGTGGACTGAGTGAGACTCATCAAGATGTCATCAACATACAGGGCGTGCAACCAAACATCTTTGAGCACTTGCTGGAATTCATATACACAGGTAAACTACTTCCTACAGTCTGTAAACAGATAGACTTTTTAATTGTTCAAGTTTCAAAATTCAAGATAATTTATTGTCTGATTAAAAAATACAAAAATTTGTCCTCCACTGGCAAGTGACATACATATACAAGCAACATAAACAATATATAAATACATTCGAGGATACAAAGAAAATACAGAAAATACAACAATAATAATAATAGCAATAATAGCAATAACAAAAAACTGACATGTAAACTTGAAAACTGGCATTTAAAATTGAATCTCTACACAATTACGTATGCCATGCTCTTTTTTCTTGATGAAAGAGTCAGGGGGGCTCTAGTGAGGTCATGTCACTGTCATAGTAAAAACCTGAATGGACTTAGTACCTTTAAATGGATGTCTACCCCAGCCACCCACATTGTGTCCAATGATAACACATACTTGTTGTAAGTTGTCTGTTACATGGGCCGGGTAAGTTTGTTGACTTTTAGTTTAGTTTTAGGCATTGGAGTGATTTTTCTTTGCTGAAAGCATGATTTTTACTATCTGAAAATGAAGGGTCTTGATTATGTGATAAGAAAGTAAAATTTATGTCTATTTTTAACAGGTCACCTTGATGTTACTACAAGCAATGCCCAAGGGTTGCTGTTTGCAGCTGATATGTTTCAACTCAATGAAATTAAACAAATTTCTGCATCTTTTCTCAAACTTCAGTTACATTCTTCAAATTGTCTTGGTTTTTTAAGGTGAGCAATAATGTTTATTATATTGCACATACTAAGAATCTTGCTCTACGATTGGTCAAAAATAAATCATGTGATGAAAGATAGTATGCCCATCATTGATGGGAGAAGAAAAGTTTGTTACACTGTGTAGATAGTACTACCATCTTCAGTGAAAGTGCAAGGCACTTTAATTGTACATGCTGTCTCTTGCTCTCCTCTTAAAGCGCTTTTAGTGTTAGTACGTGAACTTTGGTCATGCGCGATTTTTAATTTTGATAATTGAGATCTTGTAATAGTCTGCACAATTGTGTTTTTTTTAAATCAAGGGTCGTAACAACATTGCCTTGATATACTAATATAAGTGTTTTTTCTTAATAAAGGAAATTTTTTGTTGACACTGATGTAGATATATGTAATTGACAATAAAAGGAATTTAAAAGCGATTAGAACACTTTGTGAACCAGAAGAAAAAAAATTGTTCAATTAAAACTTTTGGGTGGCCTTCAGCTATTAATAGTCCTTATTGTGGAACTTGAAAGACATTAATAAGTTTTATCTTTGATAATGCATGTATAATGTGTTGGTGTAGAAATTCCCTTTAACCTGATGTATAATCTTGACTAACGCTGATGTTACTTTATTTTTATTTTGTCTGCTAGGTTTTCGCAGGCCTTATCTTGCCCAGAGCTTAGTACAGCGAGTAGAGCTTACATACACTCTAAGATTAGTGAGGTCAAAGGTGAAGAAGAGTTCTTTGACCTTGATGTAGAAACACTGATAGAGATCCTTCAGAGTGAGGACCTACGAGTGGACAATGAATATGAGGTCTTTGAAGCAGCCATGAACTGGATATCACATGATCCACCAAACCGACGGAAACATTTGGTGAGGGTTCTTGAGCCAGTAAGGATACCCATCATACAGCCTGCTCAACTCTTCAAGTATGTTGAGGAATGTAAGGATCTTAGCTTGAGGATTGCAACGGGAAAGCTCCTCCAGGATTACCATCCAAGAAGAAAGTCTCAGGCATCGACCAAAGTCTCACATGCTAAGTCTCTATTGCCTTCAAAGTATTACCAGCCTCGTAAAAGCTCCAGGAAGCGTTTGCTTGTGATGGGTGGCTACTGCATAAAGAACAGTGAAGGGTGGTCAGGATGGGGCAACACAACAACCCTTAGTGATGTGGAACTTTACGATTCGTTTGATCAAACATGGCATCCCTTTCCTGCTATGCAGCAGCCACGTAGCGGGTTCGGTGCAGCTGTACTTGGTGGAACTGTCTATGCCATAGGTGGTGAGCATGAGTCTCTACTCTCACAGAATGTGGAAAAATATGATGCGGTGGAGAATTGTTGGACAAAGATGTCTCCTCTTCTGTGCCCCAGGAGCTCCCATGGAGTGTGCGTGGTAGAGAATAAGATCTATGTATTTGGAGGCTGGGTTGGTCTAGAGATGGGAGCTGACATCGAGAGATGTGACCCTGACGATGATGTATGGACAGTCCATGATAGGCTAGCATCCCTGAGAAGCAACTTTGGTGTGGTTTCTCATGAAGGTATAAAGATCTTATATGTTTTCATGTACATGTAATAAAATAGAAGTCATCATACATACATACATGATACATACATTGATACATACATATTGATATTTATATCGCGCGTTTACATAAACATGCTCAAAGCGCTATACATTAGTAAATAAAACAGAATGACAATAATAATATTTTTAACTGTCTTTTAATATATTATTGTATGTAGTAATCTCATCTCTTCTTGCATATATGAATGCTTCTCTAATTCATATATATGCTACAACATAATCTCATTCTGCCCCGCCTTTATTTATAATGGGATAGATGTACCAAGGGTTTCAAGATTATCTATCTGTTTCTAGTGCAATATCAATCTATACCAGTATTCAAAGGGTTACCTTAGAGCTAATCAAGACCAGGGGGGGGGGGGGGGTGTTTCACAAAGATCCTAAGTTGCACTTGGCTCTAAGTTGGACTTAAAAATTATGGAAAGCCGTTAGCATCTTTTAAAATATTTTGTAAAAGTTATTTTGAAAGGTATAAAATGTTGATTCAAATCATTCATATTTTCTATCATCAAGAAGATTTCAAGTTCTTGATGTGGAATTTATAAAAAGTCAAAAATATTGAATTTTTGCTTTTGAATATATTTCATTTTAAGGCTACAAATGGCTCTCCATAATTTTTAAGGCCAACTTAGTGATAAGTTCTACTTAGGATCTTTGTGAAACACCCCCCAGAAATTGTAATTTTGCAAAGTGTTTCTCAAAGCAGCCCTTTCATCAATTGCTGACTATCGTTTAGTGCAAAAATGCACGTGTGGCATAACTGTAACTGTGCAGAGAGCCAAAGAAAACAAACTAATAACAGTTTTCTCAACTGTTTCAGACTTGATGACCTTGGTACCATTTTCTGCCCTTTTTGTTTTCTATTGATACTGTACGTAGGTCTAGTATACCTAGCTGGTGGGGCTTCTGATACTGGTACGGAACTGAGGCTTGTGGAGAGCTACAATCCTGTTATCAAAGAATGGACTCAGCTTGCTAGCATGCGTACAAGACGATCACAGTGTGCAATGGCTGTATTAGACGACGCCCTCTATGTTGTAGGAGGGTACAACTCATCAAAGAATGTCCTATCATCGGTTGAAAGGTACTCTTTATTAGAGGTGAGTCCAGTTCCTATCATCTATCTATCTCCAAAAGCTCTGAGGCCATCGGGGTAACATTGCTGTTGACCTTGAGATACAGCTAGAACTAGAACAACTGGAGGCTGACACTTACTGAGAACCTGCAGTTCATATTGTAAATAACACGAAAATTGATGCTTCCCAAATAACAAAATTTAGAGCTAAAGGCAGTACTTTGTCTTACTATAAGATCCTTCTGTTCACCATCTCCTCCCCCCCCCCCCCTTTCTCTCTCTCTGTCTTCAACTCTTTGTTCTTACTTCTTCAGTATAATAATGACTGTTTCAGTATAATAATGACTGTTTACCAATTTATTCGTTGTCAAGCCCAAAAGCGAGTTCTGTCAATTGCCTTACCATAGCAAAAAGAACAGACATTGATGGGTCTTAGTTCGTTTTTTAAATAATGTTATGCACCAAAAGTGAGTAAAAGTAAAATGGAAATACTGAAGTATTTATTTATTCTGAAGGGAGACTAAAAGTGAAACTTAAAAAAAGTTAGCTTGGATTCTGTACATATGGCCTTCCATACTATAACTCTCATGGTTATTCTCATAGGAACGTTTCTTTTAATTGGTTATTGTCAGTCTTATAATACAATCATTTTTACTCTCTTAGGACAAGTGGATGAAAGTGAAGTCCATGATAATGCCTAGAGCATGTGCTGGAGTGGCTGTAGCACATGGTAAACTTTATGTGGTAGGCGGCAAAGGATCAAGTAGACCAAATACTGCCCCACCTACGTTGGACACTATGGAGTGCTATGACCCTGAGACTGACATCTGGATTGACCTTGGTCGAATGACTGTAGGTCGTTGTGAGGCAGCTGTAGCAGTACTGTGACCCCGAGACTGACATCTGGATTGATCTAGGTCAAATGACTGTGGGTCGTTGTGAGGCAGCTGTAGCAGTACTGTGACCCCGAGACTGACATCTGGATTGACCTAGGTCAAATGACTGTGGGTCGTTGTGAGGCAGCTGTAGAAGTACTGTGACCCCGAGACTGACATCTGGATTGACCTTAGTCGAATGACTGTGGGTAGTGTGAGGCAGCTGTAGCAGTACTGTGACCCCGAGACTGACATCTGGATTGACCTAGGTCGAATGACTGTAGGTCGTTGTGAGGCAGCTGTAGCAGTACTGTGACCCTGAGACTGACATCTGGATTGACCAAGGTCGAATCACTGTAGGTCGTTGTGAGGCAGCTGTAGCAGTACTGTGACACTGAGACTGACACCTGGGTTCTGATTTATTTCGTTATTCCACTCCGATCAATCCATTATAGATCATTCTTGTATGAATATGATGAAATGCCACTTGAAGCACAACAAGATATTCTATTGGTTTATCAACTGCCTGTTTTTTTTTTTTTTACCTATTTCAATGTCCAAAAGCTTTTGTTGCATTCATATCTAGGAGGGAATTTTCAAATGTTTGATTTGATTTGATTTATTCATTATTGATTTCTGCATCATTTCATAAAACATATATTTTCATGCACATGGATTTGAATTTGATGTTCAATATTTCCAATACAGTACGATGCAAGTAGGGTTTAGAAGTCTCAGTTTGACTGTTCCCTGCTACAAGTAACTGCTCTTATGGCACATGCCTATAGATTTATGACAATACAGTGCATCCCAGAAAAAAAAAGTCGTTTGGCGGGCGGTATCTGAATTTCAAAGAGAAAATCACATTTCTAGAAAGTTGAGTTTCTGCCCTTTCATATCACACCTCAATCAGGAAAAATGAGCAAGGAATGACAAAGTTCTGTTTTTTTAAAGTAGCCCTTACATTTTCATAATTTTGGCAAACAAATTTGTTTTCACTGGCTGCCTGCCGTAGCAAAAAGCAGAATTGACAAAAGACTTAACTCCTGTTTCGTTGACAATCAGCCATGCATGAAGTCTTTCGCCTACGGCTGATTGTCAACGAAACGGAGTTAAGTCTTTTGTTAATTGTTAATTACGTTTGTTGATACGGCAGGCAGCCAGTGAAAACGAATTCATTTAATCAAATTATAGAAATGCAAGCACTACTTTAAACAAACAGAACTTTGTTATTCCTCGCTTATTTTTCCTGAATGAGGTGTCATATGAAAGGGCAGAAACTCAACTTTCTAGAAATGTGATTTTCTCTTTGAAATTCAGATACCGCCCGCCAAACGACTTTTCGGTTTTCTCTCTTCAAATTGATTATAATCACCCATGCGTGAAATATGCATCATAATGAGTTGCATCAAATGAAAGAGGAGGATCTAAGCTTTCCAAATATGTTTCATTTATTAATTATACATGTGATTAAGTTATGATTAAACATCGATAATTCTCGGTTTCGTTTTTTCTGGGAAGCACTGTACAATTTCCTTATCTGACTTGTTTAGCTATCTGCTGGTGATTTTGTTCACGGATTGGCAATATTTATATATCTTCCTATCATGTTAATAATTCGTTTTTATTTATCGATTCCACACTCTTTCACACTCATTCTAATCTTAGATGGAACAAAAATGTTTTTTCTGTCAGGTTTGGTAATTAGGTGGTCTGTCGATGACAGATCACCTATTGATTTCGTTAGAATTTTCTTTCTTTATTCTTTATTCTTTATTCTTTATTCTTTCTTTATTTATTTTTATTTATTCCGTACACTTTTTTTGTGTATACGTTTACTCGAACTCGACCTGGTCAATTTCCTTCAAATTTCTGCTAGTCATCAGGCCCTATGATATGAAGTTCCCGAAACCTTTTTCAAGTTCATGGGGTCATCGTGACGTCATCCAGGCGCCATTTTGTAAAAATCAGGTCATTATCATATCTCAATAACGAGTAATCAAAAATAAACCATATTTAGTATACATCAACTTCCGGTCAAAGGTCAACTAAAAATGTCAACAAAATCCGTGCGCGCACCTCGACGCGCACGTACGCCCGCTTAAAATTTTTAAAATGCTCCAATTCGTCCCAAATTTTGTTTGCACACGTTTCAGGTCATTTTAAGCATTTCAAAATTTTCCGTCCGTAAGTGTCCCCGCGCGCGTTGCGCGCGCTCACAGCGCGCGTAAAAAGTCAAATTTAATTTTTTTTACATGATTTAGATTCCTCTTACCGTAAATGACAATTTACATTAATTTCAGTCACTCTTGACCTTTCATAAGGCCGTGAGCGCGCGTCAAAGTTCAAAATCCGCGCGTGCTGCTATGGGAAATATAATGCAAATTTGATCAAAAACATGACATTTTAAGAATCAAAATAGCTCTTCAGATAATCAATTGATCCCAATTTTTATATCATGGTTGGAAAAAGCATGAGTTGGAGATATGATTTCATGTGTAATTTGACCCTCAATTAACTCATGACGTCATCATAATGGCCTCCGAACTCAAAATTTTAATTTGCATATTATGACGTCAGCAGATTTTTGGAAAATTGATTGTATCTTTTTAAATATTGATCAATTTTCTTTCAAATTTTGATATGTTCTACCTGAGAATATTCTCTACAAAAGCAGTCACCACGATATTTCATTTTGACAATGGTATCATGGCGTATTTTTGCGATTAAAGGAGGCATGTCAATTTTTCACATTTTGCGTGTATTCTCTATGGGACATGACTTTTTCTCAAAACTGGATTCTACATTCTCGTCTTTCGCGAGCCATATCTCCGTCGTTTTATCTTTGTTTACGCTGAGCTTTGAGTGTGTTGTAGCTGAGACAATAAGCTATCACAAGTGTGCCCTTTATTTCTCGATCAGATGCCGGGATCATGCTCATATCTCACATACAAAGTGGGATTTGATAATTCCATTTTCCGTTTACGTGTAATCTCTATGGGAAATGTTTTGGTATATCGGTAACGCACTTGACTTCCGACCTCGAGGTCCCTGGTTCGAGTCCGGGCGTCTCCAACAATTTTTTTTCTTCACTTTTTTTTCTTTTTGACCTTTCACTCTACCATCTCCTTTGAATATTAAAACACGTACAATTGCAAATAATGTAATAAACAACCATATTTACTTTATTATTACCCTATTATCACTAGATCCATTACTTTTGGCGTGTAATCCTTATGGGAGATGACTTTTTCTCAAATCTGGATTCTACATTCTTGTCTTTTGCGAGCAATATCGCTGTTATTTCTGCTTGGTTTTTGTTGATTTTTGAGTATGTTGTTGCTGAGACTATACGCTATCTAAATCTTCTCTAATTTTGTTCAGTCTGATGTCATCGTGGTCTGTTGATGATAATCATCAACATCATCATGATCATCATGATCATCATCATCGTCATCCCCATTACTATCAAGATCATCATCATGATCATCATGATGATCATCATTGTTTACATGTCTATATAACTTCTCCCTTTCTCAATATAGTAAATATTATAATCTCTCATAAGACTTGAAGACAGACCACCTAATTCGTCCCCATGACGAATTAAATTTCTAGTTTTCCTTTTCAATTCAGTATCATGCTATTCAATATCCGCTAACATGCACATGGATACATATATTTCATTTTAAAAAGGGGCCATTCTTTTTTCATACTGTACACAAATTTACAATGACGCTTGAGGATCTAGCTAAATATATTTGCATCGATGATACATCAAGAAGTACTATTGATGTTTCTGAAAAATAGTTTTAGCTTTTTCTGAGAATGATTCATTATATATTTGTTTTATATCCTCCTTCCACCTGTATCATTCCTTGGACACTTTTGTAATAACATGTACCGTACTCACATTCACGTCAAATTAAAAAAAGAAATGAAAGAAAATTGCACGGCTCAAATGAAACATTGAAGGATTTAAATATATTTAGCTGGCGCTGTACTGCAGTAGTGTAGTGCAGTTTATAAAGCTCAGCGTAAATTGCTGAATTTTGCCAGTTTCAGCAGGTTGGGGGGGGGGGGGGGGGGGGGGGAAGGGGGTCGAAGAAAACAAATAGTTTATTTTTTCCCCTAGGGAAAGGTCAACTATTTGTGACGTCAGTAATAAAAAATGAACTATTCAGCAGGAAACGTCATTTCTAGTAAAACTATTCTTTTTTCTTGTTGTGTACACTCCTAATGCAACAATCTTACATCTAATGGTATTTAAGGATATCACACTTTCCATTAGAGAATCGACATGTCTTGCCTCTTTCAAAAGATCCCTGAAAAACAAACTTTTTCCCTCAATAACTTAAAGGTAAAGACCAGTTTTGGACCGCCCCCCTCTCAAAAAATGAAATGGAAGCTCTTATTTACCAATCATGTGAAAGAATATGATTTGACTATTACATGATCATACAAATTTTGCTGAGAAACCGCCTACTAATTGATATATTTGGTAAATTAGTTTATCTATTGGTGTGTGAGTCTATGTGTGTGTAGTCCCATATACATCTTTCTGTGCACAGTGCTTGTAACTTTACGAAGACTGGACCAAATTTCTTATCATGTTGATGATTCCAGAACCTTGCAGTACACACCAATACTTATATGCTAGATGATCAACCTTTTCTGATCGATTCTACAACGTTTCTTTCACGATGCAATTGCATGACCAAAACTGGTTGTTGTTGTTGTTGTAGGTAATAGTTTAATGGCGTTCATTCAGTATTGAATATATACGCCATATCTTTAATTTTATAAGAAAATCAGTTATACATAAGAAAACTGAGGATAAAGATTTGTAATGCTATAATTAATTAATCAAGACCATAACTGGTCTTTATCTTAATGTGATTTACCTAATTTCATGAATCTATGAATTTTATGTTTCTCTTCACATTCTGTAATTTTGTAAGCGCTATGGTACTTTTTGTCTTTAGCGGTCCTAAATGATCAATATTGTTAAACGCAAAGAGTTTGTTCTCAATAATACAGTGCAATAATATCATAGTTGAAAATTGCAATTGTATGTTACTATATATAGTCTGTGATGATTTTGTAAATTACGATTGACAAACTATTGTTTGCATTAGTGGGTCATATCAGGGAGAACGGGATGAACATATAACTAAAAAAGTAATTCTTCTTTTACAGTGGAAACTCGTTATAATGTACACATTATTGAAATTGTACAAGAGGTCTTAATTGTCAGTGTTTACAAATACATCTAGAGTGATCTTAGGTATTTGCATATTGCCCACTTCTCTCCATTGAAGAACTCTTTTTGAATGATTACTTGCATAAAAACTAAAGATATTGTGATGGCGTCTTATATGTAATAATGTAGCCTAGTATCTGTAGTACATTCGATATAAAAATTAAGAGGCAACAATAAATATTTACAAAGTAACAAAATATTAAAAATGTCACATGATAATACATGTATA